CCCACTCTCTCTACTCTCCCCCCACTCTCTCCACTCTCGCCCCACTCTCTCTACTATCCCCCCACTCTCTCTACTCTCCCACCACTCTCTCTACTCTCCCCACACTCTCTACTCTCCCCCCCCCCACTCTCTCTACTCTCCCCCCACTCTCTATACTCTCCCCCCACTCTCTCTACTCTCCCCACACTCTCTACTCTCCCCACACTCTCTTTACTCTCCCCCCACGCTCTCTACTCTCTCCCCACTCTCTCTACTCTCCCCCCACACTCTCTACTCTCCCCCCACACTCTCTACTCTCTCCCCACTCTCTACTCTCCCTACACTCTCTCTACTCTCCCCCCACACTCTCAACTCTCTCCCCACTCTCTCTACTCTCCCCCCACTCTCTACTCTCCCCCCCACTCTCTCTACTCTCCCCCCCACTCTCTCTACTCTCCCCCCACTCTATCTACTCTCCCCACACTCTCTCTACTCTCCCCCCACTCTCTACTCTCCCCCCACTCTCTCTACTCTCCCCCCACTCTCTCTACTCTCCCCCCACACTCTCTACTCTCCCCACACTCTCTCTACTCTCCCCACACACTCTCTACTCTCCCCACACTCTCTCTACTCTCCACCCCACCTCTACTCTCCCCACACACTCTCTACTCTCCCCCCACTCTCTCTACTCTCCCACACACTCTCTACTCTCCCCACACTCTCTCTACTCTCCACCCCACTCTCTACTCTCCCCCCACTCTCTCTACTCTCCCCCCACTCTCTCTACTCTCCCACACACTCTCTACTCTCCCCACACTCTCTCTATTCTCCACCCCACTCTCTCTACTCTCCCACACACTCTCTACTCTCCCCACACTCTCTCTACTCTCCCCCCACTCTCTCTACTCTCCCCACACACCTCTCTACTCTCCCCACACACTCTCTACTCTCCCCCCACTCTCTCTACTCTCCCCCCACTCTCTCTACTCTCCCCACACTCTCTCTACTCTCCCCCCACTCTCTCTACTCTCCCCACACACTCTCTACTCTCCCCACACTCTCTCTACTCTCCCCACACACTCTCTACTCTCCCCCCACTCTCTCTACTCTCCCCACACACTCTCTACTCTCCCCACACTCTCTCTACTCTCCACCCCACTCTCTACTCTCCCCCCACTCTCTCTACTCTCCCCCCACTCTCTCTACTCTCCCACACACTCTCTACTCTCCCCACACTCTCTCTATTCTCCACCCCACTCTCTCTACTCTCCCACACACTCTCTACTCTCCCCACACTCTCTCTACTCTCCCCCCACTCTCTCTACTCTCCCCACACTCTCTCTACTCTCCCCACACACTCTCTATTCTCCACCCCACTCTCTCTACTCTCCCCACACACTCTCTACTCTCCCCCCACACTCTCTCTATTCTCCACCCTACTCTCTACTCTCCCCACACTCTCTCTACTCTCTCCACACACTCTCTATTCTCCACCCCACTCTCTACTCTCCCCACCCTCTCTACTCTCCCCCCACTCGCTCTACTCTCCCCCCACTCTCTCTACTCTCCCAACTCACTCACTCTACTCTCCCCCCACTCTCTCTACTCTCCCAACTCACTCACTCTACTCTCCCCCCACTCTCTCTACTCTCCCCCCACTCTCTACTCTCCCCCCACACTCTCTACTTTCCCCGCACTCTCTCTACTCTCCCCCACACACTCTCTACTCTCCCCACACTCTCTACTCTCCCCCCACTCTCTCTACTCTCCCCCCACTCTCTCTACTCTCCCCACACTCTCTCTACTCTCCCCCCACTCTCTCTACTCTGGTGGTGGTGCTGGTTGGTAGTGGTGCTGTGGTAGTGCTGGCGGTGGTGCTGTGGTGGTGGTCGTGGTGGTGCTGGTGGTGCTGCTGGTGGTGGTCGTAGTGGTGGTGCTGGTGGTGGTGGTGCTGGTGGTGGTAGTGGTGGTGCTGCTGGTGGTGGTCGTGGTGCTGCTGGTGGTGGTCGTGGTTGGTGGTGCTGGTGGTGGTGGTGCTGGTGGTGGTAGTGGTGGTGCTGCTGGTGGTGGTCGTGGTGGTGCTGTGGTGGTGCTGGTGGTGGTGGTGCTGGTGGTGGTAGTGGTGGTGCTGCTGGTGGTGGTCGTGGTGGTGCTGGTGGTGCTGCTGGTGGTGGTCGTGGTTGGTGGTGCTGGTGGTGCTGGTGGTGGTAGTGCTGGTGGTAGTGGTCGTGGTGCTGCTGTGGTGCTGGTGGTGCTGTGGTGGTGCTGGTGGTGTTGGTGGTGCTGTGGTAGTGCTGGTGGTGGTGGTGCTGGTGGTGGTAGTGGTGGTGCTGCTGGCGGTGGTCGTGGTGCTGCTGGTGGTGGTGCTGTGGTGCTGCTGGTGGTGGTCGTGGTTGGTGGTGCTGGTGGTGGTAGTGGTGGTGCTGCTGGTGGTGGTCGTGGTGGTGCTGGTGGTGCTGTGGTGCTGCTGGTGGTGGTCGTGGTTGGTGGGGCTGGTGGTGGTGGTGCTGGTGATGGTAGTGCTGGTGGTAGTGGTCGTGGTGCTGCTGTGGTGCTGGTGGTGCTGTAGTGGTGCTGTAGTGGTGCTGGTGGAGCTGGTGGTGGTGCTGGTGGTGGTGGTGCTGGTGGTGGTAGTGCTGGTGGTGCTGGTGGTGGTAGTGCTGTGGTAGTGCTGGTGGTGCTGGTGGTGGTAGTGGTGCTGCTGGTGGTGGTGCTGTGGTGCTGCTGGTGGTGGTCGTGGTTGGTGGTGGTGGTCGTTGTTGCTGCTGTGGTGGTGCTGCTGCTGTGCTGGGTTGGTGCTGCTCGTGGTGCTGCTGTGGTGCTGGTGGTGCTGTGGTGGTGCTGGTGGTGCTGGTGGTGCTGTGGTGGTAGTGCTGGTGGTGGTGGTGCTGGTGGTGGTAGTGCTGTGGTAGTGCTGGTCGTGGTGCTGCTGGTGGTGGTGCTGTGGTGCTGCTGGTGGTGGTCGTGGTTGGTGGTGCTGGTGGTGGTCGTTGTTGCTGCTGTGGTGGTGCTGCTGCTGTGCTGGGTTGGTGCTGCTCGTGGTTGGTGCTGTGGTGCTAGTGGTCGTGGTTGGTGGAGCTGGTGGTAGTGGTTGCTGCTGCTGTGGTGGTGCTGGTGGTGGTGGTGCTGGTGGTCGTGGTTGTTGTTGTTGGTGGTGGTGCTGGTGGTTGTTGTTGCTGCTGGTTGTTGTTGCTGGTGCTGGTGGTTGTTGTTGCTGCTGGTGGTGGTTGTTGCTGGTGGTGGTGCTGCTATTGCTGCTGCTGTGCTGGGTTGGTGCTACTCGTGGTTGGTGGTGCTGGTGGTAGTGCTTGTTGTTGCTGCTGCTGCTTCTGCTCGTGGTTGGTGGTGCTGGTGGTGCTGGTGGTAGTGCTTGTTGTTGCTGCTGCTGCTTCTGCCCGTGGTTGGTGGTGCTGGTGGTGCTGGTGGTAGTGCTTGTTGTTGCTGCTGCTGCTTCTGCCCGTGGTTGGTGGTGCTGGTGGTGCTGGTGGTAGTGCTTGTTGTTGCTGCTTCTGCTCGTGGTTGGTGGTGCTGGTGGTGCTGGTGGTGGTGCTTGTTGTTGCTGCTGCTGCTTCTGCCCGTGGTTGGTGGTGCTGGTGGTGGTGGTGCTGGTGGTAGTGCTTGTTGTTGCTGCTTCTGCTCGTGGTTGGTGGTGCTGGTGGTGGTGGTGCTGGTGGTAGTGCTTGTTGTTGCTGCTGCTGCTTCTGCCCGTGGTTGGTGGTGCTGGTGGTGCTGGTGCTGGTGGTGGTGCTTGTTGTTGCTGCTGCTGCTTCTGCCCGTGGTTGGTGGTGCTGGTGGTGCTGGTGCTGGTGGTGGTGCTTGTTGTTGCTGCTGCTGCTTCTGCCCGTGGTTGGTGGTGCTGGTGGTGCTGGTGCTGGTGGTGCTGGTGCTGGTGGTGCTGGTGCTGGTGGTGCTGGTGGTAGTGCTTGTTGTTGCTGCTTCTGCCCGTGGTTGGTGGTGGTGGTGGTGCTGGTGGTAGTGCTTGTTGTTGCTGCTTCTGCCCGTGGTTGGTGGTGGTGGTGGTGCTGGTGGTAGTGCTTGTTGTTGCTGCTTCTGCCCGTGGTTGGTGGTGCTGGTGGTGCTGGTGGTAGTGCTTGTTGTTGCTGCTTCTGCCCGTGGTTGGTGGTGGTGGTGGTGCTGGTGGCAGTGCTTGTTGTTGCTGCTTCTGCCCGTGGTTGGTGGTGGTGGTGGTGGTGCTGGTGGCAGTGCTTGTTGTTGCTGCTTCTGCCCGTGGTTGGTGGTGCTGGTGGTGCTGGTGGTAGTGCTTGTTGTTGCTGCTTCTGCCCGTGGTTGGTGGTGGTGGTGGTGCTGGTGGCAGTGCTTGTTGTTGCTGCTTCTGCCCGTGGTTGGTGGTGCTGGTGGTGCTGGTGGCAGTGCTTGTTGTTGCTGCTTCTGTCCGTGGTTGGTGCTGGTGGTGGTGCTGGTGGTAGTGCTTGTTGTTGCTGCTTCTGCCCGTGGTTGGTGGTGGTGCTGGTGGCAGTGCTTGTTGTTGCTGCTTCTGCCCGTGGTTGGTGGTGGTGCTGGTGGTAGTGCTTGTTGTTGCTGCTTCTGCCCGTGGTTGGTGGTGGTGCTGGTGTAGTGCTTGTTGTTGCTGCTTCTGCCCGTGGTTGGTGGTGCTGGTGGTGGTGGTGCTGGTGGTAGTGCTTGTTGTTGCTGCTTCTGCCCGTGGTTGGTGGTGCTGGTGGTGGTGGTGCTGGTGGTAGTGCTTGTTGTTGCTGCTTCTGCCCGTGGTTGGTGGTGGTGGTGGTGCTGGTGGTAGTGCTTGTTGTTGCTGCTTCTGCCCGTGGTTGGTGGTGGTGGTGGTGCTGGTGGTAGTGCTTGTTGTTGCTGCTTCTGCCCGTGGTTGGTGGTGGTGGTGGTGCTGGTGGTAGTGCTTGTTGTTGCTGCTTCTGCCCGTGGTTGGTGGTGCTGGTGGTGCTGGTGGTAGTGCTTGTTGTTGCTGCTTCTGCCCGTGGTTGGTGGTGCTGGTGCTGGTGGTGCTGGTGGTAGTGCTTGTTGTTGCTGCTTCTGCCCGTGGTTGGTGGTGGTGGTGGTGCTGGTGGTAGTGCTTGTTGTTGCTGCTTCTGCCCGTGGTTGGTGGCGGCAGCGGATGCGATTTTCCGCGCATTTTTCGGGAGCGATTTTATTTCGAGGCGGCGCTTCAGCCGCGCAGCCTCCGCGTGGCGGCTCGGCGACATTTTACTCGCAGGCGGCTCCCCTCCACCACCACCATCACCACCACCACCACCATCATCACCACCACCACCACAGGCAGCCGCTACATCTCTTCTCCTCTTCATCAACATCGTCCACCACCAGCAGCACCACCACTACCACCACCAACAACAACAACAGCAGCAGCAGCAACAACCGCGCTTCTTCCATCTGCCCCGTCGCCAGCTAGGGCTGACCTCGGTCGCTCGACCATCAACAACAACCACCATCAACAACAACCACCATCAACAACAACCACCACCACCAACAACAACCACCACCGTCTCTTCTGTCGTCGAGCACCAGCAGCGAGGCGGAGTTGACGACGCTGGTGGTGGGAGGATTGTTGGGGGGGTCGGGGGTGGGGGGTGGGGGGACGACTTCTTCCCGGTCAACAACAACAACATCACCAACAACAACATCACCAACAACAACATCACCAACAACAACAATCGTCTTTGTTGTGCTCGACCTGAGCGAGTGGAGTAGTTGGGGCGAGTCGTGGTCGTGGACGAGTTCCTCTCGGGGTGCCCTTGGGGGAGAGGGGGGTGCTGGTGGTGGTTGTTGTTGTTGTTGATATAGTTGTTGTTTAAATAGTTGTTTAAATAGTCGTCGTAGTTGCTGCTGCTGCTGCTGTTGTTTATAACGCCGCCGCCGCCGCTGCTGCTGCTGCTACCGTCAATTATTGAATCAGTGGACGACTCACTCCAACAACAACCACCACAACAACCACCACAACCAGCACCACCACCACCACGTGTAGCAGTAAGGGGGGTAGCCATGAACAAGTTGTACATCGGCAACGTGAGCGAGTCTGCGGCGGCGTGCGACCTGGAGTCGCTCTTCTCGGAGCGGCAGCTGCCGTGGCTGGGCCACTTCGTGCTCAAGGCGGGCGGCTTCGCCTTCGTCGACTGCCCCGACGAGACGGGGGCTCTGAGAGCCATCGAGACCCTCTCGGGTGGGTTGGTGGCAACAGCAACAGCTGCTGCAGCATGATCAGCTGCATCATCATCAGCATCATCATCATGAGCATCACCAGCAGCAGCATCACCAGCATCATCATGAGCATCATCATCATGATGGCTCTGAGAGCCATCGAGACCCTCTCGGGTGGGTTGGTGGCAACAGCTGCTGCAGCATGATCAGCATCATGAGCATCATTATCAGCATCATCATGAGCATCATAATTATGAGCATCATAATCATCATCAGCAGCAGCATCATGAGCATCATCATGATCATCAGCATCATGAGCATCATCATCATGATCATCATCATGTGCATCATAATTATGAACATCATAATCATCACCATCATGACCATCAGCAGCAGCAGCATCATGAGCATCATCATGATCATCATCATGATCAGCATCATCATCATGAGCATCATGATCAACACCATCATCATCATAATTATGAGCATCATAATTATGGGCATCATAATCATCACCATCATTATGACCATCATCATGAGCATAATCATCAGCATCATCATCATCATGAGCATCATCATCAACACCATCATCATGAGCATCATCACCATCATCATCATGAGCATCACCATCATCATGAGCATCATCAACACCATCACCATCATCATGAGCATCACCATCATAACATCACCATCAGCATCACCAGCAGCATCACCATCATGAGCAGCAGCATCATGATCAGCATCATCTGTTAAAGGTGTATACACACACAGGACAGTATACACCGCCAGGCGAACACGCTGGTGGTTCACTTACACGAGCGCTACTCACAGGTCAACACAACATCCATCATCATCCACCACCCATCATCATCCACCACCACCCATCATCATCCACCACCACCACCCATCATCATCCACCACCACCCATTATCATCATCCACCAACCATCATCATCCACCACTCAGATCCACGTTGGTGCTCACCCATTCACTCACTCATTCTCTACTCACAGGGCACCACACCATCCACCCATCATCCACCAACCATCCATCCATCAACCATCCATCCACCAACACCCAGATCCACGTTGGTGCTCACTCATTCACTCACTCGCCACTCACAAGGCACTCCACCATCCACCCATCATCATCCACCAACCATCACCATCATCATCCACCACCCATCATCCACCAACACCCATCAGATCCACGTTGGTGTTCACCCATTCACTGACTCGCCACTCACAGGGCACCACACCATCCAACCATCACCCATCATCATCATCCATCATCATCATCCACCACCCATCATCATCCACCAACAACCATCCACCAATACCCACCAGATCCACGTGGGTGCTCACCCATTCACTCATTCGCCACTCACAGGGCACCACACCATCCAACCATCACCCATCATCATCACCCATCATCCACCATCATCATCCACCACCCATCACCCACCAACAACCATCCACCAACACCCACCAGATCCACGTGGGTGCTCACCCATTCACTCATTCGCCACTCACAGGGCACCACACCATCCAACCATCACCCATCATCATCACCCATCATCCACCATCATCATCCACCACCCATCACCCACCAACAACCATCCACCAACACCCACCAGATCCACGTTGGTGCTCACCCATTCACTCACAAGGCGTGTTAGAGACGATGCAGACCCATACACTCTCATTCACACCCATGCAGGATGATACAGAGACTCATTCACAGACATCGGCTCACAGACACACTGAGACTCGCCTATACATACATACAAACTCACATGCATCTACATACAGACATACATACAGACTCACATACATGTAGACCCACGTAACATACAGACTCGTGCATGTTTAACTCACTCACATACACACGGAACGATAGACTCATTCACAGACATCAAGATTCACTTTCAGATTCACTCGCATACACAAATACATTCACTCACGGACACAAACTCACACAGAGTACATAGCCTCACATCGATTCACTTGTATAGATACACAGCACAGACACTCACTGATGCAGCAGTAAGGACACACAATACAGATTCACAATCTCAAAGACACACCAACACGTGCAGTTATCATTCTCACGTAACGCACTTGAAACATAAACTCGTCCAACATGTAACTCTAACACATCCTCACTCACATGCTTATCTCTCTCTCTCTCGTGTACACACAACACACACAGCACACAACACACACAACATACATAATACACACAACACACACACAACACACATAATACACACAGCACATAACAACACACAACACACACAGCACAACACACACACAACACACATAATACACACCACACACAACAACACATAACACAACCCACAACACACATAACACACAACACACACATAACACACACAAAACACACGACACACATAACACAACACAACACGCAACACACAACACACACAACACACACGCAACACACGCAACACACACAACACACACACCACACAATACACACACACAACACACCACACAACACACACACAACACACAATACACACAACACACACGCAACACACATAATACACACAACATATAACAACACACACCACACACACAACATACACACAACACATCGCACAACACATCACACAACACATCACACAACACACACAACACACACACAACACCACGCGTAGTCAAAGTCGGCTTTCCATTGGCTAGAACGTCGCCTCTTGGTGTGCGAAATGTGAGAATCTCTGTGACGTTTAATGAAGGAGGCCTCGCTCGTGTTCATGTTTGCGCGAGATGTTGGGGACTTAGCCGCACAACACACGGACGATGGTCCCTCTAGTGATGGTGGTGTGGTGGTGGTGGTGGTCCTGGTGTGGTGGTGGTCCTGGTGTGGTGGTGGTGGTCCTGGTGTGGTGGTGGTGGTCCTGGTGTGGTGGTGGTCCTGGTGTGGTGGTGGTGGTCCTGGTGTGGTGGTGGTGTGGTGGTGGTGGTCCTGGTGTGGTGGTGGTCCTGGTGTGGTGGTGGTAGTGTGGTGGTGGTCCTGGTGTGGTGGTGGTGTGGTGGTGGTGGTCCTGGTGTGGTGGTGGTCCTGGTGTGGTGGTGGTGGTCCTGGTGTGGTGGTGGTGGTCCTGGTGTGGTGGTGGTGGTCCTGGTGTGGTGGTCCTGGTGTGGTGGTGGTCCTGGTGTGGTGGTGGAGTTGGTGGTTCGTGTGATGATGGTCACTAGTGTGGTGGTGGTTCGTGGTGTTGATGGTGGTGGAGGTGTTGATGGTGGTGGTGTTGATGGTGGTGGTGGTTCGTGTGATGATGGTCACTAGTGTGGTGGTGGTTCGTGGTGTTGATGGTGGTGGAGGTGTTGATGGTGGTGGTGTTGATGGTGGTGGTGGTTCGTGTGATGATGGTGGAGGAGTTGTTGATGGTGGTGGTGTTGATGGTGGTGGTGGTTCGTGGTGTTGATGGTGGAGGAGTTGTTGATGGTGGTGTTGATGGTGGTGGTGGTTCGTGTGATGATGGTCACTGGTGTGGTGTGGTGGTTCGTGGTGTGGATGGTGGTGGAGGTGTTGATGGTGGTGGAGGTGTTGATGGTGGTGGAGGTCCGTGTGATGATGGTCCCTAGTGTGGTGGTGGTGGTGTTGATGGTGGTGGTGGTGTTGATGGTGGTGGTGGTTCGTGTGATGATGGTTATGGTGGTAGTTCGTGTGTTGATGGAGAACAACACCCACACTGCAATCACAAGGCACCACACTTCGTAATGAACACACACACGTGAGCGATATTGTTAATATAAATATGTAGCGCATGCCTGTGTGTACACTAATGATTGTTATATACACCAGCAGTAGCAGTGTGTGTAGTGGTAGTAGTAGCAAAGTGTGTGGTAGTGTGTGTAGTGGTAGTAGTGTGTGTAGTGGTAGTAGTGGTAGTAGTGTGTGTAGTGGTAGTAGCAGTGTGTGTCGTGTGTAGTGGTAGTAGTAGCAGTGTGTGTTGTGTGTAGTGGTAGTAGTAGCAGTGTGTGTTGTGTGTAGTGGTAGTAGTAGCAGTGTGTGTTGTGTGTAGTGGTAGTAGTAGTGTGTGTGTAGTAGTAGTGTGTGTAGTAGTAGTGGTAGTAGTAGCAGTGTGTGTAGTAGTAGTGTGTGTAGTAGCAGTAGCAGTGTGTGTGTGTGGTGGTAGTAGTGGTAGCAGTGTGTGTTGTGTGTAGTGGTAGTAGTAGCAGTGTGTAGTGGTAGTGTGTGTAGTGGTAGTAGCAGTGTGTGTGTAGTGGTAGTAGCAGTGTGTGTAGTAGTGGTAGTAGTGGTAGCAGTGTGTGTGTGTTGTGTGTAGTAGTGTGTGTAGTGGTAGTAGTGTGTAGTAGTAGTAGTGTGTGTGTAGTAGTAGTGTGTGTGTGTAGTAGTAGTGGTAGCAGTGTGTGTAGTAGTAGTGTGTGTAGTAGTAGTAGTAGCAGTGTGTGTGTAGTAGTGTGTGTAGTGGTAGTAGTAGCAGTGTGTGTGTAGTAGTGTGTGTAGTGGTAATAGCAGTGTGTGTAGTAGTGGTAACAGTGTGTGTGTGTTGTGTGTAGTAGTAGTAGTGTGTGTAGTAGTGGTAGTAGTGTGTGTAGTGAGTATGTAGTAGTAGTAGCAGTGTGTGTTGTGTGTGTAGTAGTGGTAGCAGTGTGTGTGTAGTAGTGGTAGCAGTGTGTGTGTAGTAGTGGTAGCAGTGTGTGTGTAGTAGTGGTAGCAGTGTGTGTGTAGTAGTGGTAGTAGCAGTGTGTGTAGTGGTAGTAGTAGTGTGTGTAGTGGTAGCAGTGTGTGTGTAGCAGTGTGTGTAGTAGTAGCAGTGTGTGTGTAGTAGTGGTAGTAGCAGTGTGTGTGTAGTAGTGGTAGTAGCAGTGTGTGTAGTGGTAGTAGTAGTAGTGTGTGTAGTGGTAGCAGTGTGTGTGTAGCAGTGTGTGTAGTAGTATCAGTGTGTGTGGTAGTGGTAGTAGTAGCAGTGTGTGTTGTGTGTGTAGTAGTGGTAGCAGTGTGTGTGTAGTAGTGGTAGCAGTGTGTG